CCCCGCCTACCCCACCTACCCCCACTACCCCGCCTGCCCCACCTACCCCCCAACGAACCCCGCAGTCGGGCTTTGCGTGAGAGGAGGGACCGAGCTCATTCACACAACCATGCGCGTGTGGCTTAACGTTAAACCAGAAGACCCTCTTTCTGCGTGTGGCCGCTATCGAGCTGAAGATTTATACCGAAGACGAAAGCCCTTAGAAGCGAATGCAGGAGGAACTTGTTTGAAAAGACGAAAGCCCTGAGGAGTGAATCCAGCAAGAGACTTCTACCCAAGACGAAAACCGTAAGGAGTGAATCAAGCGAGAACCTTTTGCCCAACACGCAAACCCTAAGGAGTGAGTCCAGCGAGAACCCTTTACCCAAGACGAAAACCCTAAATGAACCTTTTTTGCGACAGTTCTGGTTTGGTGCGACGTACAGCACAAGAATTGTGGTTTGGCGCTAAATGCGCCAGAAAAAGTTGATACACCATAAACAGTTGGTGGCTTGGTGCTCGAAACACAAAGAAGTTGCAACCAAGATGCCTGTTTTGCAACCCTCTGCAGAGATTTGCTGATTTTGGAACCGAAAAACAGTCACAAAACTCAGTCATTTTGCTGAAGAAGCTGGAAAGTTACATCTAAGAGCAAAAAGTCCCACCAATGGTTCTGCCCTGCCGTTGTGTGGTAGGCAGGAGATAGGGGAGGGATGAGGGATGGAAAGGGAATGACATGGACCTCAGGCGCGGCCTGGAGAAGCGACTGCACGGCAGTTGCACCGCCGGCTGGCCTCCAACAGCTCCATGCCACCTGGCTCGGAAGAGTTTAGAAAGTTTAGGGTTTAGGGTTTATCGCCACCTACACTGGGAGTGCAGGCAGAGCTGTGCCCAATTCAGGTCTATCCGGAGTCGGATCTCCTTCGACGCCGGCGGGAACTGGCTACCTCTGCGTCCTCCCGGCAAGGACAGCACCAGCATGTGGCCTTTGCACACGAGAAAGCGCCTATCGCAGGATTCTTCGGGAGGCAACATCTCCTGTCAGCCAGGGCTCTGCGCCCTTCATCTCCATGGCATGCCTCTCATTTGCCCCTGCTGCTGCCAGTATAGCAAGCAGCACAGCGAATCATGATCGCTTTGCTCAGATGCGACCTTCCAAGACAAGTTCGTGCTTTGACGGCAAAAGGCGCAGCGTGGACGCTGCTCAAGAGATGCAGCTGATCCGAGCATTTTTAAGCGAGCTGAGGTCCCCTTCTATTCCTACGACAAGGCAGTTGGAATCATCATGGGCGTCGGGAATGTTGGGCCGCAGCTCAGTGCCCTGGCTCGTCTCCATGAGCAAATCTTTCGTGGATCACGTGGCTTAAAGTCTTAAAGCCCGTCCTATCACACACTGCATCTCCCATGGGCCATGGGGCAGTACGTCACGTCTCTCGCCGTCCAGGCTTCGAGCCCCAGGATGCCAACACTTACCTGTCGAGGGATGGCGGGTACCTCTGGCAGGAGGTGAAGAAGGGAGTTCCTTGTCCGAAGACCGAAGCGGCCGAAGCATGATTGTAAGCACTGCCGCAGATGAAGAGTAGTTTCCACATCAGGATTACTACCTACCAGGTTCAGAGAGCACAAGACAACGAGTGTGGCCAGGGTGAGGGTTGGGGTGGCCTGAATTTTCTGTTTGCGATGTCGTGTCATGGCATTGCCGCCATTGCGCCGAATTGCGTCGTCCACCAGGTGCACATCTATGAATTCGGGAATCATGGGGCTGTGCTGGTCATGGCTGACATCCTTGCCGCGACGGACGAAATCATCTACTCTCTGGACGAGGGCAACTCCTGGAAAACAGTCCATCTGAGCAGCAAGATGAACGTGCCTGGCTCGCTTTCGGAACTTTTGAAGAATCCAGACTGCAGTCCCGCCTCCGAAACATGCAATGAACCTGCGCCAGGTGACCAATATCCTCATCGAGCCACGCGCGATCTCCACGAAATTCCTTGCCTATGGGACCGTGGGAGGCAGCAAAGGGAACGCCCTTCAACATGGAATTTTTTTGCAGTTTAAAAATGTACGAGGTGCTGGTGTCGTGCAATTTCTCGACTTCGACGCGATGGGATGGTTGCCATGCAAGAAGCCCGAAGAGCCTGGCGGCCAGTCGGAACCGCGGCTTTTGCTAGGGTTCCGAGTGGGCAGAGTCGGGGCTCTTTGGGTGAGGATTTTCTAGGGAGCCATGAGTCGAGAGTCTAGAGTGCCTCCTTTGATTGTTTGCTGTGGAGTCAGCTCGTTGAGGACTACGAAGTGTGGTCGCCTGAGTTTGGCGGTCTCTGCCTCCTGGGAACGAAGAGAACGTACGTGCGACGCTTCTTGGCGGTCAGTTCAGCTTCCCAAAGCTACTTCGCGAAAGCTGAACCTGGGATCCCCCACAACCGCACATGAAATCTCAGTGTCTCCTGAGCCGATAGTAACCGATAGTAACTGTCAAGCAAAAGATTGCCAACTTTTCAGGAAGCAAAACTGCAAAGCAACCTAAGCAAGCATGTACATTGAAACCCAAAGGGCGCAGTAGGCGGAGGAGCCTGAGCGTAAGCAAACACCCGGGTCGGACCCTACTCGTACTAGATTAAGATGTAAGTATGTTAGGCGGTAGGGGCAGGCAGGCAGGCAGCCTGTGACGTGAGCAATGGATATATGTATATATATATATGATATATACATCGGACTCGCCGATTCCCGGATGCAGCTTTTGGATGGCTTCTGCATGTTTGTTAGGCAAGCCCCTCTCGGAGTGCTTCAATCGCCGGGAAGTGAAGCTGCCGATGATCTCGGTGCCCTGCCCCTGCACTCGAGATGATTTCGAGTGCAACGTGGGTTTCCAAGTGGCCCTGGACTCCCGAAACTGCGTGAAATCCTCGATGCCGCTGGTGGGCTCCGTGGGCCCAGCAGAAGAGACGGAAGCAGCAGAGTGTGGCTTGGCTTGGGAAGAGAGATGATGTTAGCGAAGAGATGCGCCAGCATTTCAGAGCTCAGGCAGGTTCAGAGACACTTATTCCGTGGAGATGTATCGACGGATACCTGGCAATGGCTGTCAGTGACCAAGTCGAGCCGCAGGGGGAACAGCGCGATGCACGCTGCATGCGTCACAGGGAATCGAGCACCTCCAACTTCCGAGGTGTTGGCGGCTTCGTTCCGCCAAGGTACGAGGCGAAGTGTCCGCAGGACGGCTCTGAAGATTGAATCGATTGGGCACATTATATTATATTATGTACCTTCACCTTTTTCCCATTCTTTCCTGAGGGGAGCAACGAGGCAGCCGGTGCCGGTGCCGGCTGGTCCTTGACGAGGCTGGTGCTCCTTGTCCTGGCTGTGGCCGCATCTCGGCCGAAGATACGCTTGGGGTGCTTCAGCAGGACTTGTTTCCGAGCCTGCATGAGGTCCTGGTCTACGTGGCGAGGTCCGAGCGATTCCAAGATTGGCCACTCACCTGAACATGTAGTGCGCGGTCCTTTGCATTCATGGCCTGTAGCGGCCGGCTGCGCAATTTTTTGAAACGTCCTGGCACCTGAGTTGGGAGACCTTGGCAAGCAGAGCCCGGAATGTGGATTTCAAGCCAGTCGGCACCACGGCCCCTCGGCACGAGAGAGCCATACGATACGGGACACCTGTGGGCCAGGGCCAGCACACGTGGCTCAGGAGCTTCCCGGCATTCCTCGCTACCGTGCTCCTTCAATCGCTCGATTCTGAAAGGGAAAGCCGTGGGATCTAAGCGCCGACTCTCGCGGCGCCGAGCACTCGCCGACTCGCCCCGAAGAGCGCATCAGCGCACTCCGACTCCATGCCGTGCAGAGCCTGATGCGGAGAGCTGAGCCCGGCCGGGCGCCCCGAGTGCCGCCGTTGCCGAATGCCGCTCTCCGAGCCGGACGCGAAGGAGCGCTCCGCTGCGTGCCGAGCCGCGCGGAGAAAAGGGGGGGCCTTTGCAACAGGCAGACGTGGAGACTTCTGAAGTTTTCCTCGCCAAGGCGTGCGTGTCCACGATCTCATGAGCTCCGGAGATCGGGACACTTTCTGCACTGAGGTGGCCTCTGAAATCCTGAAGTAACAGAGCTTGGAGTGCCGGAGGTGCTGGTGCAGATGACCGACATGGAGGCGTGCAGCTTGGGCAACGGTGGCAACGGGGAGGCGCCGCAGCCGGCCGCCCGGTTATGACAAGAAGTGCCTGTGTTTGTCAGGTGACGATTGCTGGGCGTGGTCTACGGGACTTTGCCAAGGCAACAGATGCCGGACACCTGGGTGTTCGTTTCTTGAGAGCTCCAGATTGCTTCGCATGAGATCGAGGCCATTGCCAAAGACCTTGCTCACATGGGCTTGCTGGACGGGTGGGGAAGAGAAATGAAATGAAAGATCATGGATCTCGTTCTGTTGGGGAGTTTCAGCTGGTGCCAGGTCTGCCCTTCTTGAGCTTCACTTTGGTGACCAAGGTGGATCCGTCCTGTGCCGGCCCCAGCAATTGGAGATTGCCCGGAGACAGCTGCAGCAGTACATAGCAACCCTAAACCCTAAACCCTAAATCCAGTACAGTGCTTTCAGGTGCTGCATGGCCGCAGGTTGTGATGGAACCGCCAGGCCAATGCAGGCATGCGGCAGTCGCGTGCACGCAGCTCCTGACTCCCATGTCCCGTGCACTTTGTCATTGCGCCCTGTCGATTACCGTATTAAGACTGTAAGTGATTTTGGCAACGACGCAGGTCTTGAGGGGTTGACGGCGAGGGATCGGGGGGCTCAAGTCGACGCGAGCCGTTCTAAAGAGTCGTGCAAGGTTCGGAGGTTGACCGTCAGTTAGGATGCTTGTTGCTGCAGGACTTCTCCGCGGTGTTCATGGTCTCCACACGGGAGTCCTCCTCGTCAGGAAGAACTCCGCCATCAGGCCCGGCTGGAGCAACGAGCGTCTGACAAGCCCGGCGAGGAGCGGCTCCTGGTGCGGCTCCAGCCACGGCCCCGGCCACGGCCGCCGAGCCGGCGGCGACGGCGGCTTCGGCGCGGCGCGCGCAGCGCCAGGACGGCAGAAGTGCAAATAAGGGCCACGGCGACGACTGGGGGCTTTTGGCTGCTGGGGACCCGGCCCCTGCTTGCAGGGCGGTGCCAAGCGCCGCGCGCTGGAAGCAGCGCCGTCGGACTTTGGCGCCTTTCCGGAGCCGCGCCCTGGCGATGCAACAGCTGAAGAGAGCAGAATCCGATCTGCGCGGCTTCTTCGCTGCCTTAGGAACAGCCAGGCTCCGCGGTCGGAGGCGACAGCGGAGACATCTTCTCTTCTGCTTTCCGACAGCCCCCCGCTTCTTTTTGGCCCCTAGAGGCCAGCGCCCGGGCGCCGGAGAAGCTTCCCTCAACTCAGGCCAGGAAGACCCGTGCGATGTTCTTGGACGGGCTTTTTCTGAAGTCCGGCCGCTTCTTTCCACGGAGTGTTGAGTTGTGGAGGTCACGCAAAGCGAGTCCGTAAGGCGAAGAGGGCGGGGGGTGCGGATTTTTGAGTTGCATGCATCCTCCTCTTTTGAACAGCAAGAAATCCTTTCTGTTTGTTTTTTTTGTTGCTGTTTAAGAGAGCTGCCAGGGATGCTGCCCGACCCTTGTTGCAGCTTTTCACGCCGGGGCCACTGCTTCCCAGTGTCAAAGCTAGCTTCCAGCGTCTTGCGAAGCTAGATTCCGAAGCTCTGCCTGCGACGGAGGCAGCAGCAGAAGAGCGAGCTGCTTGCTTCGCAGGTCAAGCTGCTGAGATCGAGAGATAAGGTGAGCGAGTGAATAAGATACTACGACGCAGCCCCCTCCGTTCGCAGAGCCAGCCTAGTGCTGTCCTACCTAAAGTTCTCCGCATAGCAGCAGTGGGAATGTCAGGCGTGGCACGCACCGAAGTCTCCGAAGCCAGAGGTGTCCGGGACCTGGGGACTCGCAGATGGTTGTGCCAAATCGCAGAGCTACTTGAGATTCTGTGCGATGTGTTGACTCGTGGCGAGACGTGAGGGACGGGCTGTTCAGGAAAAGACGCCGACTTGTTGCGGCAGCTCGAAGCCACAGGGTCCTCGTCACCTCTCCTGTTTCCTTGGGACTCTCCGGCCCTAAACTTTCAACGGAATCCCAAGGGAGGCTCGGCATGTCGGCATGCAATGAGGATCCACATGGCTTGACCTTCTAGTTTGTGCCGTATCTGCCAAACGTCACGTCGCGCAGCGCGAATACAATCTGGGAAGTGGTCAACTTCTTCGAATCAGGCAGGCCTCGGCAAAGCCGTTGGAGTTTAGGCTGCTATGGCACTGTGAGGAGGTCGTGTTCGACTTCTCCTGCACATATAGATTATACAGATGATGGACGCTACGTTTGTCAATGCTGCTCTTTTGCAGCGGATTCTACGAGCCACAGCACGTCTGCGTTTGCGAATACAGATGTCACAGACAAAGCAGAGAGAAGAATGACTTATCCAGTCACTGCATTTGTGCAGGATGTGCAGTCTACGTCATTTTCAGGGTGTTGGGCATCATTGACTGCCACCTATTTTCTGTGTCATCCTTGTCTGCGTGACAGCTTTGCTGTTGTACTCCCTGCTCGCTATCTTCGGTATTTTGGAGTGAGTACCATTGGACGGCAGCAGAAATGCTGGCACAGCGCAGCAAAAGGTGCAAGAGAGGAGGGCCTGTGTACTCCATGGGACAAGCCATGTAGCTGAGCGACCGAAGTGTGTCGGTCCGTGTCGTGAGCAGTGGCGCCACCCACTCCCCTAGTGTTGGCGGTGCATCTGAAAAACAGTGACGAGCCACTTTTGCAACCTCCGCTGAGTGAGGGCAGCGACTTGCCCGTCCACGCCGGTCTCGCGTGTCTGAACCTCAGTTGGAGGCAGGGATCCTCTCGCTGACTCACTGAACCTGACGAGAGGAGCCGCATAAGACGGAGCAGACAGCCGAGGAGCTGTTTTTGCTCTAACTGGTCTCTAACTGTCTTGGACAAATGCCAATATGAGTGTGTGAGAGCACGGCTGCTTTTGCGGGGAGGCCGCCCCTGTCCCACCGACTCCGAACAGAAACTACCAGGTGCAGGGCGCTCAGCTGCCTCCGGCTCAAGAACCCACTTCAGCTGCTCAGCATCATCTCGGTTTATCAGATCACACCACATGTTCTGTGCATGTGCATCTGTAAACGCATGATCGTGCATGAGCATAAGCACGCACGTCCGTCCGTCGGTCGGTCGGTCTCTGTCTCTCTGTATGTATGCATGTATGTATGCATGCATGCATGCATGCATTCATGTATGTAGGTATGTACGTATGCATGTATGTATGCATGCATGTGTATGTTGTGAAAATAACACGTTCTCTCCTAACCCCGACTTTCCCACAAGATCACGATGCACTTTGTGCAGTCCCTGGAAA